GGATTTGGTGACCTGGTCATAGAAGACCACCAGGTTGGTCTGACAGGACCTGACTAATGAACCTGTGTTGGTTGCCCCTAAGCATAATCTCCCCTGCTGACCCCTCGTGGACATAAGCCAGGATAATTCTCCCAAAAAGCTTACCCAGGATCAAGGTAAGACTAACTGGCTTATAGTTTCCTGGGTCCTCCTTCCTCCCTTTTTTGAAGGCCCTCTTCCAGTCCTCTGGCACCACACAAGAGCACCACGAGTGCTCGTAAAGCTGTGCAGGGGTCCCACAATGACCTCAGCTAATTCTCTCAGCACTCTGGGGTAGAGATCATCAGGACCAACTGTTTTAAATATGTCCAGTCCCTCCAGAAGTTCCCTGACTAGATCCTCACTGACCCTTAGCCTGTCAATTAATTCTTTATTAATTGAATACTGAATCAGCTTTTCTATAACAGTTATTGTTTTTGAACATTTGCAAGACATCAGTAATCTTCCACCATCTCTTAGTCGTAAGTTTTCTAGAGCTGATAATTAGAAATGTATATCCTCAGTACTATATTCATGATGTATAGGTTAACATGGTGTATGGGTCAACCCCATTTTTCTGATCCAAAAAGTTATGAATTTTATAGATCCAGTATATAAGTCTGTGGTAAGACCAGCATGGTTGCTGTGCTCCTAGACTGACCAGAAGCATAGACACCAGTCCTGCTGCAGCCGGCACTGGCATGTATACTGGAAATGAAGGAATGTGCGTGCCAATGCTGATTTGTTAGCCCAGCTCCACCAGGAAATTTAAAGGCACTGAAAGTGATTTCCCAGCAATGACCAGAACACCGGAGGGAAAATACATGCCCCAGAAGGGGTGATTGGTGGCAACCTGTGCCAGAGAGGCCAATTGCAAGGAGTGACTCTGAAGAGTCCTGCAACTCACCTGAGTGAGGCCAGTGAAACCCAAGTGGCACTGAATCAAGCTGAAGTTCCATTCAACTAGAAAGACAAGAAGAAACAAGAGAGTGGTAAAGACGCCAGATGACAAAGCCAACATATTTAATAACTTCTTTGCCACTGTCTTCCTCAGTAAGGACCAGAACTGCCACCTCCCTGCTGGGCCCCCTTCGGGCCCCGGGGGAGGCTCACCCAGGCCTAGAGTGAGTGAGGATTTAGTTAGGGAGCTTCTGGAGGGGCTGGATATTTTTAAGTCAGCCGGCCCAGATGATCTTCACCCTAGAGTCCTAAAGGAACTGGCTGGGGTCATTGCAAGTCCCCTGGTATGGCTTTATGAGCACTCGTGGTGCTCTGGAGAGGTGCCGGAGGACTGGAAGAGGGCCAACGTGGTTCCCATCTTCAAAAAGGGAAGGAAAGAGGACCCAGGGAACTACAGGCCAGTCAGTCTTACCTCGATCCTGGGCAAGCTGTTCGAGAAAATTATTCTGGCACACATCCAGAAGGGGCCAGCAGGGAACTGCATGCTCAGGGGCAACCAGCACAGGTTCATCAGCGGCAGGTCCTGTCAGACCAACCTGGTGGCCTTTTACGACCAGGTCACTAAATCATT